ATTAAGACGTTTATATAGTCCGAAACTGTATTCAAAACGCCCTGGAACTTGTGAATGCGCAATGGAATTAAAAAAATATTCAGCTTATTTCTATAAACAAAATAAAATCATAACAAGTCCTCGCTACATAATTTGTTTATTCGAAATTTCTTTCGAAACCAGCTCAAAAAATGGCGGAGTTACCCCTTAATCAATTTTGAAAATCCTGTATCTCCTTACCCATTGGGGTACAAACGAAACTAACGGTGGTACAAACGGGTACAAACGATTCTAAATTCATCCCTGCAAACAGAATTTAAATTACTCCAAGTTGGGTGCTAGCGGTTTTTTGACCCCCCCTGTAATTTTCAATTCTTTGAGGTACAAACGAAAATTAAAGTGGTACAACCAGGTACAAACGGGGTACAATCGAATTGGGTTTTGAAAATTATAATATTTTTATGTCGGCTGCCAGGTTCACGTAGGTACAAAAGTGATTAACTTTGCGATTACACCATTCTAAACACTTGTCAATTTTTCAATGTTGTAACGGCAGCGTAGTGTTGCCTGGTCGTACAACAATGTTCCATCAAGTAGTGCAAACATGTCTGTAGTCAGCCATTGTGCTCCCTCTTCATCTAGCGCTATTTATTACGAATTCATTTTACACTCTCATAATTCATGAAGCATGTTTAAGGCCCATTCCTAATTCGAACCTCACATGACCACTCTGTCAATTTAAAGGACATCACGTAACTGTGACAGTGACATATTTTGTTCAAATCATCTACTTTATCGCATACTGCTAGAGTCGTTAAATAAAACATATTAATCACTTATCTAAATATAATCTAAATATTATACTATTCTCCATAATATATTAACATTGATAACATTTGACTAATAAGAGTTTTATTCTCATATACTTGACTTATAATGCTGAGACCTATTTTTCTAGGTGACTACGAACCCCATCATGGGAAAGGAAAAAATTCATATAAATATTGTGGTGATCGGTCATGTGGATTCTGGTAAATCTACAACTACCGGTCACTTGATATACAAGTGTGGAGGCATAGACAAGAGGACCATAGAAAAATTTGAGAAGGAAGCTCAAGAAATGGGCAAAGGATCCTTCAAGTATGCTTGGGTCCTTGACAAGCTTAAGGCTGAACGTGAACGTGGCATCACTATTGATATTGCTCTGTGGAAGTTTGAAACAGCTAAGTACTATGTAACCATCATCGATGCCCCTGGACATAGAGATTTCATAAAGAATATGATCACTGGCACAAGTCAGGCTGACTGCGCTGTGCTCATAGTGGCAGCTGGTATAGGAGAGTTCGAGGCAGGTATTTCTAAAAATGGACAAACCCGTGAACATGCATTGCTTGCATTCACTTTGGGTGTTAAACAGCTGATTGTTGGAATCAATAAAATGGACATGACCGAACCACCATATTCTGAAAGTCGCTTTGAGGAAATCAAAAAGGAAGTCTCCTCATACATCAAGAAGATTGGGTATAACACTGCTTCCGTAGCTTTTGTACCCATCTCAGGTTGGCATGGTGATAATATGCTTGAGCCGTCTCCAAAAACATCATGGTACAAGGGCTGGAAAGTAGAGCGTAAAGATGGCAATGCTGATGGAAAAACTTTGATCGAAGCATTGGATGCTATTCTTCCACCTTCTCGTCCTACAGATAAAGCATTGCGGCTTCCACTACAAGATGTTTACAAGATTGGTGGTATTGGTACAGTGCCTGTGGGTCGTGTTGAAACTGGTATTTTGAAGCCAGGCATGGTGGTAACTTTTGCTCCTGCAGCCCTTACTACTGAAGTAAAATCTGTGGAGATGCATCACGAAGCACTGCCTGAGGCTGTGCCTGGTGACAATGTGGGCTTCAATGTGAAAAACATCTCAGTGAAGGAATTGCGTCGTGGTTACGTAGCTGGGGATTCAAAAAATCAGCCACCCCGTGGAGCCGCTGATTTCACTGCTCAGGTTATCGTACTCAATCATCCCGGTCAAATTAGCAATGGTTACACTCCTGTTCTTGATTGTCATACTGCTCACATCGCATGCAAATTCGCTGAGATAAAAGAAAAATGTGACCGTCGTACCGGAAAAACAACTGAGGAAAATCCGAAAAGCATTAAGAGCGGCGACGCTGCCATAGTAATGCTGCAACCGAGTAAGCCGATGTGCGTTGAAGCTTTTCAGGAATTCCCGCCTCTGGGGCGCTTCGCAGTACGCGACATGCGTCAGACAGTCGCTGTGGGTGTCATCAAAGTGAGTTTCAATGCAATTCCGTTCAAGAAAGAAATTACATAAAAAATGGCTGACATTTCATTATTTGCTTCTATATTCGTTAACAGAGTGTGAACTTCAAAGACACCCAGGGCAAAGTAACAAAGGCCGCTGAGAAAGCTCAGAAGAAAAAGTAACCATCAAGCTTCCTCGGAGGTCCGCAGTGCGTAGACCGGCGACCCTCGGCAATTCCACCTACAAATGGAGCTTATCAGACGCCGCTGATCGCGACTACTCCATTTCACTCGTACTCGACTAATGCCAAAAGTGGACAAATGTTGTGCTTACTATTACCCCCGGTACATTATCCAGTAGTCTTGAATCCACGCATCTATCCCAACTTGCATATTCAGTTCACACACGCTCCGCGCACACCCCACATATGCTAGGATTTTTACGTTTTTACTCATATGTATATCAAATTACGAAATAATACTCAGTTCCCTCGGACCGTGTAGTTAGGTTTTTAAATTGAAAAAAACTCAGGATTGACGCCGTTTATATCGTGCGCGACGAGCACTCGCGGCGAGACAGTTCGTAAAGCACCTCTTCCTTCGGCGGCCATCTTTCTGGCATTATTTTTTTTTCTGCTATCGAATACCAACTAATTCCTGGCAAATCAAATATAATTTTCTTTCCTATGCTCGTACAAATGCGTACATGGATTCACATGAACGTATACAGAAGCCACTGTCTCGTCATTTCCCACATTCTTTTAATCGATGCGTTACGAAGAATTTGTTAAGGCCAATTTATTCGAAGAATTTTGGTATCGTTGGTATCGTTTATATTAATTTTATTAACTTAAGATATTTAACTCTAGTTAGAGATCGTTAGACTGCTCTCGGAATCGCGAGAACTCTCACTCGTGATTTTCACGAAATATTTGAATATGTCTGGATCCTGTGTGAGAATCGGTTGGTCGTGATTGACCTCTATTAATCTTGGTGTCCCATAGACACGTTCTATGATTTTTGGACCCTAAGCCATTATTAAATTGACGTAATAAAAAATTTAATTGCACTACTCACTCTCTATTATTTCCCTAAACCGTGATGCGCCTTTATTTATTTATAGCATTTTCGATTTCATTGAAAGGTGAATCTTAAAATAAAGTAAACTTTAGAAGTGGTAGTAATGTCACAATAAATCGTATAAGCGCATAACATAATATCTGACGTATGTACAATGTACCATAAGACAGGATAAGCAAGTGTCAATTTATGGTAAATATAATTTATTCGAATGAAATTTTCATCAACGTTACAACTAAACATGGTATGTACAAATATATTTAATGCAACGATCTTATAAGAATTTTAGTGTAATGCAGGTCTCGGTCAGTCTTTCGTTGCTGAGGCCCATTCTTTTGTATCGTTGGGCGTCGAGCAGACCATCATCCGTTATTAACACGAACATTACTCGTTCGTCAGATTATTTGCGGAACACTTTTACTTATTAATACATGCATACACGATCACAATTATGGAATTCATAAATGATACAGGCAGTTTAAACTAACTCATCCTCACTATACAAAGTCGTTGGTGTCAATAATATAATAATGAAAACTTGCTGTCTCTGTTTCTCTGTTATGTCTGAATGTGTGTTTTGCGATTGAATGATGTACAGACGCGGTGATCAAACGAGATTTGATTAATTTCACATATCCTCCTCAAGAGTCACGAATCTCAATGAAAATGAAAGAAATATAGAACAACGTTTGTTCTATCTCCCTTTTTAAAATTGCGTACCTTGATTGACTTATTCCTCGACCGAAAAATTCTCAAAGCAACGCGCTCTGAAAACGCCAAGATACGAATCCGTGAAAACAAGAAAATAAAATTGCTAGATTGTTATAAAAGATAGCTCCGTTGATTAAGTTACTTGTGAAATGTAAGTAAACATGACGCTTGACGACATTACGTGAATAGTCCAAAGTTAATACTGATTGGTAAATGTTCGCACAATGGTTAAGCCACTCACCAACCAAGTTTCAGCACCTTTTTTGGTTCGTCATAATAGTGAGCTTAGAGACACCGAGGGATGGCTGGTGGTACCGTATAAAAAAGAAATATATTATTTTACTAACATAAGGTCGGGTTGAAGTGCGTGATACGTTGAAAGAATTTTTTAAAATAGTGATTAAAGTCGTTTTCTTTAGCGCCTGGCGTTTGACGTCTGACTTCCAGTTTCTTTTCTGTATCCTCTCTTCATCGCAACCTTATAAATGCCAAAATAATCCACAGCCTTGTTAAAATTATAAACACAAAAAATCAGGGAAAAAAGGGGGACACAAGCGTCTTCGACGCGATGTACGTGATAGATTGTATCTTTTGTGCGGTTCGAGCGGATCATTGCTTCTGTCGTCGAAGAAGGAACACGGAAGAGGAAAAGGTAAAAAGGAAATGAAGGGAAATCTAGATATGAAATACGATGATAAGATCAGCATGCTCCGACGAGATTGTATATGATAGCCAGACCTCGTTTCTCGTACCGTTGGAAAAAAAAGGAATACGGCTGGGAGGGTGAAGGGTGAAGATGTACGCATTGCAGATGACGCTCGAAGAATGTTGCCTGCCTTAACTCTGTTGGTGCGTGGGACTGTGATGCGACCACGCAGGGGGTGACGAGTGATTGAAGTTGACCGATATCGTGACAGGATGGAGAACCATGTCAGGACCCGTGTCTGGGAGGAACGTCAGATGCGGCCTAAGAAGGGAGGACTCGACCGTCAACGGAATATAGAAGGCGCCGCCGTCGTGAAGTGCGAATATCGGAACACCATGAGGCTTCTCCGCAGTTGACGGTGGACTAGACTTGACTCGTTCGGCCGAAAATCTTTGCTTGATGGAACTCTTGAACTTGTAATTTGGCGGCCTTGATACAGGTGGCGTGCTGTGAGAATGAGTACTGTGATTGCTGTCGTCGCTGACGATGGTCGGTGGAGGAATGATGGGCCGCGGACGTTCTGGGTCGCCTAAAGAGCTCACACCTGAGCTGGAGCCATGATCCGAATGACTGTTTGGGGGACATATCAGCGGAATGGTCGAGTGAGTAAAATTCGAGTTCGCCGAACCATTGGACACGGGCATTTCAGGATGTGGAAAACCGAGTCTGTCACCTAAAAAATTCGAAAATCATGTGATTAATAGTCAGAATGACGTCAGAGGTCATCGCACGCCGATAATAACGTAAACTCGACGATACGTACTTGTTGCTAGAATTTTATCGCAGTGCTGTTGCAAATGGCTTATCAACTGCACGCAAAGCGAGTCCCTCGCGAAGAAGCCTTCGACTTCCACGAGGAAATGCATCGTCTCGCTGAGACATTCTTGAAAACCGAGTCTATAGTGCTCGGCCGCGGTGGATGTCGTCGCCGAATGAGAAACGCTGTCAACACTGTCTTCTGTGTGAGTGTGTACCGGATTGACCACAGGATGCCTGGTGTCTGTACAAACAAGATTCAGTGAAGATACTTGCGATTGGCACTGGAAACGAAAAGCCCCAAAAATATGGCTCGTCGACAATTTTATTTACCTTGTCGCAGACCCTGAAGATGCTTCATGTGACGAATCGCCATTTCAATAATTTCCGTCTTCTCCACTCGGCCACGGCCCTTCTTCAAATATTCTGCCGGTATCAATCGACTGAGATCAGCCAAGCAATTATTCATTCGATCTCTTCTGCGCTTCTCAATGATCCTGTGCGACATTGGATCTTGCTGTAACAATCAAATACAATAACGTATTTAAACAAGTATTAACTATATAATATGTAATACATATACATAAATAATAATTTTAATATAAATATTAAAAAAAAGCAGCCCGACACATGACTTGGCGAGTAATATGCGTAGTTTCTCCATAAAAAAACAGAATATAAAGCTTAATCAGGAAATACTTAAAATCTCTTGCTCAATTAATTGTTTCTTTTCCTTGCGCGATAATTCGCTATCACGAGTTTTTGATTGAGAGTAAATCCCCCGCAAAAAGTTTACAACGCGTAACGCATCGAGAACGGGAATTCCCGTTCAATCTCACTATGCGGTTCTGTTTCCGCGAACTGCCCTAACTCGCTCGTCACTCGGCACACGGTTCTGGATTTCATAATTAGAAACTCATCTATTCCGCACGTAATTCGTGGCGCGAAGCACGAATTGAAGTTTCACGAAGTAAATTTCAAGAATAATTACTACAGAGAGCAGTGAATCGAAATTACGTATTTGACGGATATTCACCTCCTTATTCAAGCAGCGCTTCTTTCTGCTGGGCGAATGTAGCGACACCTCGGTAGAATTCGGAGCCGCGTAATACTGCATATTCAAAATATTATCCATACTGTGTGTCACCATGTTGAGTCGACACGCGCCGCCAAACGAATAAACTTTAATAGAATAATAGAAGAATAAAAATAATCACTACGTTCCACACTCCGATGGGAAATCGTTATTCCTTGGTGAACGAAAACAGAATCACAGCTGATATTGTTTTGACGAGCGTCTTAATGGTTTATCTGTCTCTACAGTAAACGTAGCGTCTGGGCAAGCGACCGTTCCTCCTTTACACTCTTTCGGAGAAGATGCAGAGCGACATCGTTCAATGTTATTTCACTCGTATCACGAAACGAGAAGTGCAATAACAAATCTAACGTTGGACGTCAAGCACCATTAAATTCCCGCTCAAGAATGGAAAGCAGCTCTTCTCCGTCCAACGCGACGAACGAGACTAAACTGCTTTGGGATGCTGCGCGCTCTCGAATGGTCACGGATTGACAAGTGGTGCTCAACTTACACTTCCTTTGGCGCCGCAACCCGCTCAGCTTATTCATAACAGCGCAACTTGTCACGTGTATTCAGCACGAAACGTTGTGGTCTACACGTGAGATACTCGTTCGGTCCTCGTACCTCTTCTTTTCGCATACTTCTTCTTTCTTGCACTTCTCGAACTACCATTACGATTTGCGCCTGTGCGTCAGCGGTACCAAATACTTTCTCATTACAATTACGTAAACAGAGCAGCCCGACGCGAAAATCCCCGTCCGACTTAACTATGGCGATAACAGATTAAAAATCACGTTTGCTGCTTTTTTTTAAAGCTCGTCCCTTACGCAACTTCGACAGCACGAGTGGCGGAATTTGATTAAAAAAAAAAAAAAAAAATAAACGTAATACGAGGTCAACGAGTCAAACGGCCGTTCAACATTCTGACGAAGGTCTTTGGTGTTCGGCGAGAGATCAAGATCGGAGTACAGTGCGCGTGTGTGTATCCTATTAGTGAATTTAGCCGATACGCGACGTCACGAGAGCAAACTTCTCGGTAGTGTTTACCAGGATGGATACGCCAATCGCTGGCACGCATCCGCGAGCACGAACACGCGCGCGCTCATACGTGTGTCGGTGAAATTCAATGAGCCAAAAAAGACGTCGATGTCCTCGATGACGCATGGTCCGCTTATCTCTTTAGGGTCACAAAGCTGATGGGAAATGATCATCGGCGGTTCGAACGCGCACGTAGAGCAGCCTGCGCGTTTCCTCGCATGTGCAAACACACGTGCACGCGTCGCGTGTACCTTTTCCCCTCTTCACCTCTTCGCCTCTTCGCCTCTTCCCCGTTGCCGCCAGCGCCTCTATACGGTTTTGTCACGAGTCGAAACCATTTGACACGCTTGACTTGCACGTTCCTTCTGTTGCGTAATGTAAAACAGCTCCGAGAGACAATTCACGGCTCGAACTACAGCAGTTCGGGGTCGCGAAGGACGTTGCGTTGTGACGCTTGTATTTTTGTTCTTCCATTTATCTCCCGTCGGTATCTCATCGGTATGCTTGTCTATTCAAGAGGTGAGATACACTGTGCTTCTACTATCCCTCGCGAGGTTCCGCAAGGATAATTTGGACAACCACTGTGGAGTTCGTAATTAAGGAGCTTTCGGCCATCCAGAGCTAATAGTCCGAATTCTCACGTGTGGACCTCCCCCCCCCCCCCCCTC